TATATATATATATATATATATATATATATAAGGCGTTTTAAACACTTCCCACAATGTTTCTAAACTCTAAATGCTCTAAAAGAGCTCAGAATGTCATGAATTCAGCTCTCTGCCTGGGCTGCACTCTGCCACCTGCGAGTGCTCTTGGCCACACCCACTTCACTGCTCTGCACAGAGATCAGCTGATCAGCTGCAGGAGGAGGCTTATCCTGCAGTGTGGGCTGCATAAAGGTGCAGCAGGTGATAAATAATTTAAAATAATTTATTTTAAATGAAATTTCCATGCCGATCGTGCAGCTCATCCATCAATCAGCCAGTTGTGTGTCATGTCCAATCTTATTTTGAAAAACTGCGATAGAGCGAGTCCGCGAAAAACGAACCGCGAAGTAACGAGGGACTACTATATGTCAAAGCCGATCTAGTCAAGTTCTATCCCATCCAATCCAATTTAGCTCAATCCAATTTTATATAATCCAATTCGGTGTAATTACAGTTATATGGCAGGTGGTAAAGCATCTAAATAAAGAAAACTAATGCATTTCTATTGAATCTTTATTTCAATAAAACTTGCAATGTGGGAGTTGGGGGACATATAGTTAAAAAAAAAAGTTTAAAGTGGAGACCTCTAGCAGAATAAGACTCAGCAAAGGTATCCATTTATTTTAAAGGTAAGAAAGTCAAACAAAAAAAAAGAAAAAAAATTAAGTCAAGGTAACTTGTAGTTGCATGGGTATTAAAGGAAGCAGAGTGCTTAAAGATGATCAAGGAACGTGGCAGCTCCTCAATCAAGCTTTAAAAAGTGAAAGCTAAAAGCTGGTTCCACAATTTTGAAGCAGTGTAGACATTTGAACTAATCCTTGAACACTAATCCAGTTAGTTGGAACAGATTGTAGAAGTTGTTACTGCGGACTTCAAAAGTTTGAAGACACCTACCTTTTCATTTTGAATGAGTTGTGAATTTAAACTAAGGCAGAAGTTTGTTCACAAATGCATAATGGAGTATGCTGAAAAGTACTGTGCAAAAATTTTCATTTTTTTCACAATTTCTTTCAAGGATCCATTCTTTTTCTTTTAAAGCAGTTTTGATCAATAGTTCTTCAGGTGTTTCTGAAGGTAAATGTAAAGAAATAGTGGATGACTCAAGACTTTTGTAAAGTCCTGTAATTTTTAATAACATTTATTGAATACACACTAGTACAATACAACTTTATTTATAAATCACTTTAAAAAACAACACTGTTGACCAAAGTGCTGAAGACTGATAACTCATAAAAGCAAAAAAAAAAAAAAAAAAAAAATTGAAACAGTAAAATAATGAACTATTAAAATCATAAAAACAACATACAATAAAAACAATAAAAGCCAACATCTAAAGCCAAGGAGAACATTCAAGTATTTTAAGAGACGATTGAAAAACAGGAAGTGAGTCAGCCTGTCTGATGTGCATCGGTGGCTCGTTCCACAGTTTAGGGGCAGTGACTGAAAACGCTCGGTCACCTCTCAGCCTCCTCTTTGGTTTTGGAACGACAAACAGCAGCTGATCTGCTGACCTGAGAGAGCGTGAGGGAACGTACAGCTGGAGCAGGTCGGACAGATACTGAGAGGCGACCGTGAAGACGTTTAAAAACAAATAAAATAACCTTCAAATTAATCCAGGAATGAACTGCGAGTCAATGTAGTGATCTAAAATGGGTGATGTGCTCTTGTTTTCTGGTACCAGTTCAAAGACGAGCAGCACCATTCTGAACCAGATGAAGTGGAGTCAGTCTGGCTCAGCCTGACATAAAGTGCATTACAGTAGACTAAACGAGTTGTGATAAACCTCAAAATGTATGTGTGTAACATATTTATGAAACTGCGTGACAAAGAAACCCTTTTATTAAAAAAATGTAATTGTTTGCTTCAGGTGCTTCGGCGGTTGTTGGACTCGGTGGAGTTCCTGGAGGAGATGAGCGGTCCAGGGGAGCTGGCTCTGGGTACCACAGACAGAGCCCTTCTGAGGGAGCTTACGGACGTTTTGGAGCCCTTCACTGAGGCCTGGGATATGGTGCACGGAGACACGCTGACAGACATCCAGTCAGACAGACACGTGTCCATCAGCTTGGCTCTGCCCTGTGTCCTCGGCCTCCGTAAGCATCTCTCGGAGACATCCGCTCCCCACTGCCCCGCCCTTTTGACAAGCCTGAGTCAGTCTCTGGAGCGCCTCCTGGACCCTATTCTGGAGAACCCCCTCTACATTACTGCGACCACCCTGGACCCCCAGTTCAAGCTGACATGGAGCAGCAACCCTGACTGGCACAGACAAGTACTCATAGAGGAGCTATCCAAACACTCTTCAGCCTCCCCCTCAGATGATCTCAACAAAGACCTTCTCTCTCAGTCCCACACTCTTCCCGTCGCAGCACCATCTCCGGTCTCATCGCTTTCTCGGCCTTGCAAGTTGTTCTCCTTCATCAAGCAGAGACCTGCGACGCAGGCTAAAAGCCTGGAACAGGAGCTGGCTGTGTACCTTCGGGAGGAGCCCACAGATGAGGAGGCGTTGCATTACTGGCGCCGTAAAGCTATTGACTTTCCTCTGCTAGCCCAAGTGGCTAAAAGAGCGTTCACAATACCTGCTTGTGGCACAGTGGTGCAGAGTATATTCACTTCAGCCGGACGCCTCCAGTCGCCAGAGAGAGGCGGTGTCATACCAAAGAACCTGGAGACACTCATCTACCTCAAAGCTAACTACAGACTCTTATGGACTTAGAGCTACGAGTTAAGACTTTCTTTTTATCTAAACATCTGGAGATCTCCCCTCTTTGGTAAAGTGACTTCTTGGATACAAATCTTTCTTGCTTTTTAAGGAAACTATTCTAGCAACATAAAATAGTGCTCAAACTACCGGCCTTTTAGTATGAGACTGAAAGAACTACCAGTTTCTATTTGCCAGATGGATGTAAGTGTGGATTACCTACATACAGACTTATCACTGTCGACTGAGGCGGCTAAAAGCAAATCAATACTAAAGCATTCACTCGGACATTATTTTGCCTGTTCGGGGTCTCTAGACAACCGCAAAGCTCCTCATAGTTTTTGTCTGCAGCAGCCACACTAGCAAACCAATGATAACCAAACAACCAGTTAATGCAAACCGAGGTGTCAGGTTTATTTTTGCTCATGCACAACTTATGTACGGGCAGCCATTACTTTATGTCATTTGTTTTAAGGATGACAAGAAATGCTAAATCAGTACTGTATATCCATGCATCTTATTGTTTTCCTTTATGTTTGCTTCCTCACTGGGGATTTAGAATAAACTAGTCCACTTTTAAACAAAGATATGTGTGTTTGGCAGCTATAGAATCTGAAACAAAATTAAACAGGATGGCGGACAGAACTAGGAAGCGTTATGTCGCTGTCACGGCATACCCACTGCACACTACTTTGCATGCAAATGTTTTAGAACAAACATCTTGTGTGGTCTGTTGGAGCCCCGACTATGTGTTGGAAATGGCTCTCTTCTATAACTACACTAAATCTTAGCTCAACATCTGTAAGAATGACTGAGTTATAGCCTTTTCTGTGTTTGCTGAAGTCAGTTATGTGTGGTGGCTAGGTTGAATTGGGTTGATTCCAAAAGTTAATCTCTTCTAGACGGGGATGCACGATAGTGGATTTGTGGCCAATATTTTGATATGTTAAAACTTGTTTGACCGATACCGATATTTTTAATGATGTTTGATGTCAGAACACAGCCCTCTTATTTAGGCTTATTTGGTACAAAAAATGTGTAACAGCTGCAAGAGCTGGTGACATATATTCATTAACAGCCATATGATATGCATAGCACTTTAACCTATTTTAAATGAAACGTGTTAAATGTTATTTATTAGCATTAGTCAGCTGCCATGCTGTCTCACTTGTGGAGGCTTGTTCCAGGTTCCTAGCTGCAGTGTGGGATCCTCTGCACTCTTGTGAATGAAGGACAGACTTTTTAAGTTCAAAGTTTTTGTCTCCATTGTGCCGTAAGACTAATCATGCTAACGAGGCTAACACGACGTCCAAATGTCTGTGGTAACACTCACCCAAGTGCTGTCGGCTATTAGGTTCTCAATAGTGTTGGAAATGACGGCTTGTAACTCGGGTAAGGCTATGTCGGAAAAATATCTCTGACTGGGGACGATGTAGCGAGGCTCAACGTAGTCCATAAATCTTCAGAATCCGACATCCTCAACAAAAAAAACCTTCCACGCCGCTGACATTTTGAATTTTCCTCTCCGCCGCGATCAGATCAGGTAGGCGCGCATGACGTCATCACGTTGCGCTGGCGCTGCAGGCATCCTTGTCACTGGGTTGTCATACAAAAACAGCGTCTTTTATATCGGTGATTTATTTTGACGGAAAGTCCGATATAGAATTTTAACGCTAATATCGGCCGATACCATGCTGATAATATCATGCATCCCTAGCTTTAGATATTTATCCATTAATTACTTTCTGAGCGTTTGATTTAACTCTGTTCAGTGGTTCATGAGATATTTTGCTAACAGAAGTCACATAAGCAAACACACAGAGGCAGACAATTATAAATGACCCACATTCACTTTGGTGGACAAAAAGACAATGATTGGCTCCTATTGATTTTCATCATGGGCACAAACTTTCAGGATTTTAAATGGGACTCAACAGAAATTCACGATGTGTTAAAGCTACATCTCTAGCTGTTACAGTGCAGAACAATGAATGTTGTGTGTGTTTGTCTCTGTTGCCTCTGTTGGTTGGGGATGGGCCAGTGGGGAGGCAGGGTAATTGCAATAATTTCATTAAAATAAAATTTGAGTCAGCAGGCAGCTGTCACAGCCTCCGGAGCTGCTTTCCCCCTCACCATCAAACGAGGTCAGAAAACCGTACTGGTAAATCAAGGCTGCTTTTGATTTTAGTTGATACGGCAAGAACAGAAACCAGTCAATTGAAAACTGAACTGCAGGAACAGGTTTTTGCTTAAAATCCACTTCACATCCAAACTATTAATCTGTGGGAGCTACAGAGAGACCTCCCTCACAGATAATAGTTATCAAGGATCCCTGCGATCCTAATGATTATCACCGCAGGGAGTCTGTGGATTCAGATGTGTGTGGACGTGTTCATCGTTGAGACGTGCGTCTCCTGCTCTCCTGGGTGTGTTGTTTGTGAGCCTGTCCCTCCCTCCCCCGGCTCCGACAGCTCATCCATTCGACTTAGCCGACCAGGCTCGGATGCAGTCCTTGTAATTGCCTCTGAAATGAATTACTTGGCACAGAGTAAAGCTGCGGGAGGGGAGGAAATTGTAATTGAACCGCACCCCCTCTCCCCTCTATCCGTCCTGTCCTCTCCCTCCTGCCTCGAGTTATTATATCTGCAGTGCAGAGACGCGTTTTCCATCTGCACACAAATACACACGCCCTCGCCCAACCAATTTCTCTCGCCCCACCTCCACACACACAATGGCACAAGAGCAACATATTGATGCAGGGTGATTTCAGAGATTGATTGTCCACGTGCACATGCACACCAGGCCATGCTGCACTCTTGTTTACGGCACCGGGACCATTACTCTCTTATTGCGCTTGCTTTTGTTTGGACTGCCTCGCTCCTAATACTCCCCTATTTGCAGTAACCTTTAGACGGCCTTCCTAACTCCTAATGTACTGCAGGGCTTTGGAGCAGGCACAAAGAAAACTGGTGTTGGGTATCAAAATAGCCTTGGTTAGTCCCTGCGCACTCAGCCGAGCACCGTTATTAATATCTGCCTGTTGCTGGCGTGCTGACAGATGAAAAGCCTGATGAAGTGATTTTCTTGCTTGCTTTGGCAACTATAACTCCACTTTTATTTGTCTACACAATGCATGTCCACATTTGTGCTATCATGCAATATCCTGTGGCCTTTCAATAACCAGGTCATGGAAAAAGAAGGGGGGGGGGGGGGGGGTCTAGTTAACTTAGCTGCCTGCACCCAGACAGATATGCACATGCTTGAGCCCTAACTCAGCACACAATGGGTTCTATTTCTGTAAACGCACTAGGGTTATCGCCCCCACTTACACTGGCTCTCCCTCTCTTTCTATTTCTGTCGCCCCCCATCTCTTTTTCCCAACACTCCCACCTACTTTCTGCAACATCATGGCGGACAGAACCAGCAGGCTTGGCGTTAGGAGGAAAGAGAAGACCGCGGAAAGCAAAGTCAATGACGAGAGGGATAAAGACAAGGGGAAGGAGAAAGCGGTCAAAAAGCCTGACAAACTGCTGACGAAGGACGAGAAGAGCCCAGAGCTGTCCAAGGCAGATGAGAAGAAGAGTAATGGTGAAACTGAAGGGGCAACAGGAGCAGAGGCCAAAACCAGTGAGGGTACTGGAGAGTTTCAGCCCATTGAGCTGCCTCCTTTTGAGATTGTCACAGGGTGAGCGAGCGGTAATGCACACAAACAGCTATAGTCACAGGCTGTTACTCTTATATCTCCTTTTGAGTTATCAGCACATGTTAGATTTATTAAAGTTTATATCACATTGTTTTAGTGAGTGTTTTAGACACGACTTGCACCTGCCATCATTTGTCTAGCTGAGTGGTAAGAATAGGGATGAGTCACGTAGACGTTTGGGCCTCCTGTATCACTCTGCCTAGCATCAGTTCTCTGCTCTCGGTTCTTTAAGCTTGTTTGATAACAAAGCTATAAGAGATCTCTATCTGGGATCCATCTGTCTATGTACAACATAATGAATAATTATTGACGCGAGGCAGCAGGAGGATGTGCTTTGTAGAAGACTGGCACAGTCAAAGATCAGATTCTGTGATGATTAGGAAGCTTTGATTCAGCCAGTTTACATTACCACTCCAGGTGTCTTCACTCTGATAACGTGACAAGTTATGAAAAGGTGGACACGTGCAAGCCCCAGACAACATGCCCAAGAGTTTTTATTTGTATTTTTTGTGTGTGTGAATTTTTCTAAAAAGCAAACGCTCATGAAAACTTTGTTGTGTCTCTGTTAGGGAGCGGATGAGCCCGTTCTTCTTCAAGTTTCAGTTCAGGAATGTGGAGTATTCGTCGGGGAGGAACAAAACCTTCCTATGTTTCAGAGTGGACACGGCCGGAGGCGACACAGAGCCTCTGAAAGGTTACATGGAGGATGAGCATGCAATGGCTCATGTTGAAGAGGCCTTCTTTCAGCAGGTGATGAAAGCTCTCATATCTCTGAGTGGCATGCAAAGTCCAAACAATGCACCGAGAAGCTGTTCTGAAATAAAAGTGACCTGATTTTCAAAAGATGTGAACATCCAGGTGGCTCTATTTGATATTTAAAATAACGAGAAAAACGGGAAGAAGTGCATTTTCTGCAAAAATGCAGTGCGAATGCCGAGTGCTGTATGACTACTGAAATTTGCTTCAGAAGCTGAAACCGCAAAGAGACAAAAATAATTTTTGGCTAAATGCTAAAAGAAGCAAAATGTAGGATAAAGTTTAAAAATGCTATCTAAAAGTTAATGTAGCAAAAAGCTGGTTCCAAGCTAAAAGTAGCAAAACGGTAGCTAGAAGCTAGGAGAAGCAAAAGGCTAAATAAGATCAAAAAGTATGAAAGAGCTAGCTGGGAACATAAAAAAGCTGGCTAAAAGCTAAAAGTAGCAAAATGGTAGCTAGAAGCTAAGACAAGCAAAAAGCTAACTAAGAGCAAAAAGTATGAAAGAGCTAGCTGGAACAAAAAGCGTAAAAAATCTGGCTAAAAGCTGAGTAGCAAAAGTTACGTATAAGTAGTAAAATAGTAGCTCAAAGTAACGGGAAGTTAAAAAAAAAATTAAAAAGTATATGAAGGCAAAAGTAGAGCAAACATGCTGAAGCAGATTTTTTTTTTATTAAGAAAATGTTTTTGTATAAAACTGGTGACCTTTCAGTGTTTCAGTAGGAAAATACTTTTAGTGAAATTTCTTGAAAAGTACAATAATTATAAAAACCAAGTCCTGGCACCCATCTCCTGCATGAGCTGAACGTTTTGATGTTTGAATGACTAAAATAACAAAGTATGCACAAGTAGTTAGATTGCAAAAATTAAATTAATTGCATGGTTAAACCATAGTGTGATTGTTGAATCAGCATTTACACAATAAGATAAAGCACCTAACACTTATTCACTTATTTTTGAAAATCTTACATTGTTATTTTTACTAAAACCCTCACGGACAAAGGATACTTTTTTGTACTAACAAAGAGTTCTTATTTTGAAGTAGTTTGTTCTTTTAGTTCCTTGTGGTTCTGAGACTGCTCTGCTTTGATTTATTTGAAGTCCAGCCACATATTTTGAAGTTTGTTCAGGATAATGAAATCTTTGTTGCGGTTGATAAAAGTGCCCCTTCTAATCTTAAGTTTGTTTTTATGCAGATGCCTCCAGGTTTTACATTTATTCGATTTAATTCATTCTTCATTCTGGCATTAAAATATTCATGTGCCGCCAACTTCAATCTAATGCAATTGTTTTGCATTAATTCACAACAGAAGTCCTCTCCAGGCACTTAACAGAGGAAGCAAACGTTCATTTAACCTTTTTTACTTTAATTGGGTTAGTCAAACCCACATCCCTAATCTGATCTAATACAGTCATGTTAGGTCCAGTTTAGAATAAATATATTTATAAAGTTTTGCTCTCGTTCACTTAAAAATCAGACGGCGTCTTTAGCTTAGCTGGTTGAAGGCTTGAAATGACAAGACAGATCCAAGCAAACAAAAAAATGTCAGGCAAGCAACAATCTCTAATTAATTAACTGCAGCAATAAGGACAGAGGATTTAAAAAAAGCAGATTGAGAAGAAGTTCTAATTTAAGATTCCCCAACAGTTTAAAGTCATCTGAACCAGCTTTAAAACTGAACTCAACTTGGAAATGTAATTTATAAAAGGTAGCGAGCAAACTTCAGACTGGCAGCTGGTTTTACATGAAGGAAACCTGATAGCTAAATGCTCTGACCTCTTTTCTAATTTTGGAAACTGTGCAACATGATCTCGTGAAACGATCCCCCAACCGCCACGCTTAACAGACAGACTATTTATAAAAACCTCGGTTTTATTTCTGTGAACTTCCCCTTTTGCGAATTCTAGTGTACAGATTCTAATTTAACATCATCACTTCATTATACTGTACTTGCTTGCATTAAGATTTTTAAATTATGAATGCAGGAACGTGTTTTATTATACAGCTGGTGCAATTTCACAGTAGAGAAGAATCACAACAGACCCTGCTAAAGCTTACCATATTTTCCACCATATACGGTGCACCGCCGTATGTCGCATCGGTTCAAATATGTCTAATAAAGTGGAAAAAAAAAACACAAACACCTCGCTTCGCTGTATAAGTTGCATCTATTAGGCGTCATCGCTGACGCGTCGCATTTGTTATGCGTCACCGCTGACAGCCTGGAAATGTGGGCCGGTGTTGTGCCAAAAATCGATAGGCTGTCAAACGGCGGTCGTGGGAGCATGCACGGGAGGACTTTAACAAGAATTTCACAAGATTAACACTTAAAAACAATAGTTTGTTTGCTCAAAAGTATAATAAAGGTGTGTCTCAGTCTAACTTTTCCTTAATAAATGCAATGCATGGTCAAATCAGCTGCTTTTCAAAAGCCGATTCGCGGAAGCAGGATCGCGCAGAGGGACGACTCGCTGTGCATTTCTTCGAAATTTAACAAAATAACCACCTAAAAACAATTATTTGTTCTCTCGACATTATAGCAAAGGTGTGTCTCAGTTTAACTTTTCCTTAATAAATGCACTTTAATGGTCAAATCAGCTGCATTTCGCCTGGGTGGCGCGACGAAATGCAGCTAATTTGACGTTTGCTCCAGGAATTTTAGAGCGAGACGAAGGTGGCTTGGTATGGCAAGTCAAGTCAAGTGTCTCATTAACATCCACTTTTACCTATTAATGAGACACTTGGCTTGCTATATTAGTCAAATGCCCTCTAGTGGCTGAAAATGGTAGTGTTTAATATTTTCCATGTCAGAATGAATGAAATTGTCAGATCTCAGACAAAAAAAATGGCATAAAAACATAAATATGTCGCTTCGCTGTATAAGTCACAGGCATGCTAATTTATGCAAAAACACTGCGACTTATACAGCGAAAAATGCGGTAAATGTCTTTTAAGCTCAAACTAACCTCAACTTGACCTCGCCTTCTGTTTCTTTTGCAGGTGCTCCCGAACTCCTCCAAAGAGCATGAAGTCACATGGTTTGTATCATCCAGTCCCTGTGCAGACTGTGCAGCCAAGCTGGCCACCATCCTCCAGCAGCGTAAAAAGCTTCATCTCACCATATTCTGCTCCCGCCTCTTCGAGTGGGAGCAGCCAGAGATCAGGGAAGGCCTCAAGGCGCTGGTGAAGGCTGGCTGCAAACTGCGAATGATGAAGCCAGCTGATTTCCAGCTTGTCTGGGAAATGTACGTGGACAAGGAGGACGAGGAATTCACACCGTGGGAAGATTGCAAGGAGAACTATGAGTATTATCTGGAGAAACTGGGTGATATTCTCAACTAGCTGTAAGCTACTGAACGCTGAATATGAAACCTACAGGATTTTACTTGGTAGTTTGGATAAAGACTGTTTTTCATGTGGCTTTTTTTGTCTTGTCCCAGGTTTCTTCTGAATGAACCACAGACGGGCCTGCTGTTGAACACGTCTTTTTGCTGAGAGATGAAGACTGATGTTAGATTCAAGGAGCTCTTGTGGCAACATTTTATACTTTTTATTTTGTTAAATTCACATATCATAGCACAAGATTTGTAGATAAATATATCAAACTGTATCCAACTAGCGGCTTCTAAAGAGCAAATTTTACATTGTTTAGTTTTACAGTTTACCACAAAAAAGAAGCTTTGAAGAAGTTACAGTACTGCCATCTGGTGTCTGTTAAATAACTGCAAGTAACCGAAGGAGATGTCGCATAAATAATTTGTCTTTATCTGTCCTGTTTAAACAATGATGTGAAAAAAAAACTTCTATTTTCTGTTTATCAGGTTACGTAAACACATCTATACACAATTTTATCCTGTCTGAAAAATACATTATTTACTTTAAAAGGAAATACACAAACAATTTCCCCGATTTTTGGCATTTTCTTGAACTTTTTCTCGCTCCACCAACATCTTAATGGTTTTCACCTGTCCACTTAGCTTGTTACTGGCATTCAGAATCGTCAGTGAATTAAGTGCTGAGAGTTTCCTCTCTAAAATATTATCTGTTTGCAGTAATGTTGACGGCTTTACAAGTTGGTAGCAAGGAAAGCGAGACCATCAGAAACTCAGGGTTTAAAGGAAACCATCGCATCGCCGTTTTCCGTTGTTTCATGGCCGTTGGTGATCGCAGCTGAAACAAAGATTAGTCAGAAATGTTCAGTGAACTGCAGCAGCTCTGTAATGCTCATCACAGATGTGTGTTAGTAATTTAAATGCATCACCTTGGTCCTCCTGTGAGGAGATTGGTAACGGTGTGGTTTCACTGCAAATTGTGTCGTCCTCCTCACCCTCTGCACATCAGGTAAGATACAAAATTCACATTTATAACATTTGTTAAGGTAAATATATTTAAAAAAAACTAACTCTAGCCTATTGCCTAAAACTTTGATTTTTTTCATAGTTTTCTGTTTTTACTTTTACATTTAGATTACATTTTTTACTGACTAATGAGAGTTAATTCAGAAAGGAATTTGCAAAAGATTGAATAAAGATCAGTTTAACTTCTAGCTTGGACTCTTAAGGAACCAAATCTCCAAATACGTTTCATGCCATAGTTTTAGACTAAATTAAACAAGGATCAACTTACAGTGCATCTGGAAAGTATTCACAGCGCTTCACTTTTTCCACATTTTATGTTACAGCTTTATTCCAATATGTATTAAATTAATCTATTTCCTCAAAATTCTACACACAATACCCCATTATGACAATGTGAAACAGGATTTTTTGAGATTTTATTGAACTCTTTGGTGTGAATGCCAGGAGTCATGTTTGGAGGAGGCATCACTCATCACCAGGTCAATACCATCCCTACAGTGAAGCATGGTGGTGGCAGCATCATGCTATGGGGATGTTTTTCAGCAGCAGGAACTGGCAGACTAGTCAGGATAGAGAGAAGGATGAATGCAGCAATGTACAGAGACATCCTGAATGAAAACCTGCTCCAGAGCACTCGACCTCAGATTGGGGCAATGGCTCATTTTTCAGCAGGACAACAACCCAAAGCACGTGGCCAAGATCTCAAAGGAGTGGCTTCAGGACCACTCTGTGAATGTCTTAGAGTGGCCAAGCCAGAGTCCAGACTTGAATCTGATCGAACATCTCTGGAGATATCTGAAAATGGCTGCACAGACATCTCCCATCCAACCTGATGGAGCTTGAAAAGTACTGCAAAGAAGAATGGGACAAACTGAAGGTGTGCTAAGCTTGAAGCATCATATTAAAAAAAAACTTGAGGCTGTACCTGCTGCCAAAGCTGGATCAACAAAATATTAAGCAAAATATGTGAATACTTAAATGTGATCTCAGTATCATTTTTAATTAATTTGCAAAAAATCTGAAATGTTTTTTTCACATTGTCATAATGAGGTATTGTGTGTGTAGAATTTTGAAGAAAGATATTAATTCAATATAATTTGGAATAAGGCTGTAACAAAATGTGGAAAAAGTGAAGTGTTGTGAATACTTTCCGGATGCAGTGTAAAGAAACATCATTTGAGCCAAACCCTGGAAATAATGGTATGCACAGTCTCCTGCTATCTTAAACTATTAGAATTGACTGAATTATAGCCATTTTTGTGTTTTTTAAAATCAGATGTCCACGATGAGCAGCAATGCGGCTCAGTTGGTAGAGCTGCTGTCTCTCAGTGAGAAGGTCACCAGATTGAATCCTGACTGGGGGCCTTTCTAGGTGGAGTTTGCATGTTCTCACCGTGCATACGCGGGTTTTCTCCGGGTACTCCGGTTTCCTCCCACAGACCAAAAACATGCATGTTGGGCTGATTGGTAACTAAATTTTCCCTAGTTGTGAGTGAGAGAGTGAATGGTTGTTTGTCTCTTTTGTCTCCATGTGTCCCTGTGGTGGACTTGTGACCTGTCCAGGGTGTCCACCTCACACAGTGACCACTGGATATGAGCACTAGTGACTCCCCCCACAACCCGAAAAGGAAGAAGCGGGTAAAGATAACGGATGGATGGATGCTCATGGCAGATACCTTAAATCTAAGATCCCCATCTTTATTTGACTTTTATTTCTTTTTGGTACCTTTTTGTGGCGCATTCAGATCTGCATCAGTGATGTAATCAGTGAGTGGAATGATTGCATCTGCAACAAGAAGAACAAAAAAAGTGTACAGCAGTAGTGTTTAGGTCAGACCAGCAATTTAAAATGTCAGAAGGTAGTTTCACAAAGATAGACCAAAACCAAGACCATGAAACATTGGGCAACTAAACCCATATCTGTTATTTAGGTTGTAATACAGGGAAGGTCCAGCAGAGGGCACTCAGTTTTCACTGAGTTAAATTTAACCAACGTGGCTTGGTCATTTTTCCCTATATTCTGAGGCATGGTTTTTACAGTGCACTGACTAACTAAACTGTGGACCTTACAACCTGTCTATGAGCGACAGAAGTGACTACTCATTGAGAATTATCTGTGGAAATCCCAGTGAGAGACCGAGGTGACTGCTTGTTGGGTAATATCTGCGGAAATCCCGGTGAGTGAATAACTCAGTTGAGCTCACTTAGCTTGCAGCTAATGTATAGATAAGTTAAATATTAAACTGCCAGATATTGAGATATGTCTCTAAATAAACCATTCGGGAGTTTGTTGGACTTTGTTCTAATGTTTTAATTGCTTTGGTGTGTTTTACATCATTGTACTGACAAAAATATGAATAAAAATGTTAACTGATAATGCTAGCACTAACCTCGGGTGCTAATGCTAAAGGCCTGTATCATTTTACAAGGTTAGAATTGGCTCTACAATGACAAAGAATGTGCTTTTTATATTCTAAATCATATTGGTCCATTAAAATACATGCAGTTCATAGTAAGGCATGTTAAAGCTACTATAAGTTGTTTTTAGTTACAAACCGGATTCCAAAAAAGTTGGGACACTAAACAAATTGTGAATAAAAACTGAATGCAATGATGTGGAGATGGCAAATGTCAATATTTTATTCGTAATATAACATAGATGACAGATCAAAAGTTTAATCTGAGTAAATGTAACATTTTAAAGGAAAAATATGTTGATTCAAAATTTCACAGTGTCAACAAATCCAAAAAAAAGTTGGGACAAGTAGCAATAAGTGGCTGGAAAAAGGAAATTGAGCATATAACGAACAACTGGAAGACCAATTAACACTAATTTGGTCAATTGACAACATGATTGGGTATAAAAAGAGATTCTCAGAGTGTCGGTGTCTCTCAGAAGCCAAGATGGTAAGAGGATCACCAATTTCACCATTGTTGCGCAGAAAGATAGTACAGCAATACCAGAATGGTGTTACCCAGCGTAAAATAGCAAAGACTTTTAAGTTATCATCATCAACCGTGCATAACATCATCAAAAGATTCAGAGAATCTGGAACAATCGCTGTGCGTAAGGGTCAAGGCCGTAAAACTCTACTGGATGCTCGTGATTTCTGGGCCCTTAAACGTCACTGCACCTCAAACAGGAATGCCACTGTCAAGGAAATAACAGAATGGGCTCAGGAATACTTCCAGAAAGCATTGTCATGAACACAATCCACCGTGCCATCCGCTGTTGCCAGCTGAAACTCTACAGTGCAAAGAGGAAGCCATTTCTAAGCAAGCTCCACAAGCTCAGATGTTTGCACTGGGCCAGGGATCATTTAAAATGGAGTGTGGCAAAATGGAAGACTGTTCTGTGGTCAGATGAGTCACGATTTGAAGTTCTTTATGGAACACTGGGACGCCATGTCATCCAGACCAGAGAGGACAAGGATAGCCCAAGTTGTTATCAACGCTCCGTTCAGAAGCCTGCATCACTGATGGTATGGGGTTGCATGAGCGCTTGTGGCATGGGCAGCTTGCATGCCTGGAAAGGCACCATTAATGCAGAGAACTTTGTTCAGGTTCTAGAACAACATATGCTCCCATCTAGACATCATCTCTTTCAGGGAAGACCCTACATTTTTCAACATGATAATGCCAGACCACATTCTGCAGCAATCACAACATCATGGCTACGTAGGAGAAAGATCCGGGTACTGAAATGGCCAGCCTGCAGTCCAGATCTTTCAACTATAGAGAACATTTGGCGCATCATAAAGAGGAAGGTGCGACAAAGAAGGCCCAAGACGATTGAACAGTTAGAGGCCTGTATTAGACATGAATGGGAGAGCATTCCTATTTCTAAACTTGAGAAACTGGTCTCCTCTGTCCCCAGACGTCTGTTGAGTGTTGTAAGAAGAAAGGGGGGTGCCACACAGTGGTAAAAATGGACTTGTCCCAACTTTTTTGGGATTTGTTGACGCCATGAAATTTGGAAACAACATATTTTTCCCTTAAAATGATACATTCTCTCAGTTTAAACTTTTGATCTGTGATTTGTGTTCTATTCTGAATAAAATATTAGATGTTGGCACCTCCGCATCATTGCGTTCAGTTTTTATTCACAATTTGTTTAGTGTCCCAACTTTTTTGGAATCCGGTTTGTAAAATAATAAATGTTGACGTGTTGTAAATTCATTAATCAACATTTTAAAAGCAAAAGAAAGGTAAAATGTTTAATATGCCTGATATGTTATGCAGTTCAACGGTGATTTTGATTAACTTACAAGTTATGCACTACATATTTAAGTTGTCAATGTGTTTTGTTGGTTTAACACTAAAAATAACAGTTAACTACTGTTTATTGCATTTCATGGTAGTTCACTATAAACGTAAGCTGATTAAGCTAAAAAACTAAAAGAAGAAATATGTGAATGATTGGTATTCTTGAGAAAGGACATGGAGTCTCATAATTGAATGGGAACAGAATGATTTACCTTCTGCACTTTATGCAGATTAGTTTTATAGTGACTCTAGATTCTTTGATCGTGATGACGAGCCGAGCTCATGCAAACTGTGGACAGGTGTAAACGGTGTGGCCAGCCGGGACATAATTTCGCAGAAGAACCTTCACAATCCGGAAAATTCATCTTGGGTTACAGATAAGATTCCATACACAACACTACCCGGGGTAGCAACGTTGTTAAAGAACTGAACTGAACTTTATTTTATTTTATTTTTCACAAAGAAAAGGGACATTGTTCTATTTAATTTTTTCTTGTATTTTATTTTTTCCACATTTGTAAATAAGTTGTTTTTAAATGCTTTATTGTTGTGGGGAAGCAATGAAATAATCAGTTAGGTATTCGGTTGGTGTGACATCATTCTTCTGGCGGAACCTAGTAAATGTTAATGCCTGTTCCCTACTGGTCCACTTCAAGTGTGCTACATAACTGATGATGAATAATTGGTGAGTCTCTACCTTAAGAATAAAGAGACCATCAAACCCATCGAAACCACCAGAGGTGGAGTTCACTTACTGGTACAGTCCTTCAACTGAGCCATGGTAAGAAACAGAGGGGGTTCTTCTTCCTTCTCAACATCATCACCTGTGAGACAAGAGCAGAAAAGTTGCAGATACTGCTTCACTGTGAGGTTTAATGTTCAACTTGGGTATCATCTAATCTTCACATAACATCTGGACTCCACCACCAGCTACTTCCTCTGGTGGCTCTGTTTGTGGTGTAGACTGTGCTGCAACTGGGCACAGCTGCCTGCAATCAAAAATTTAAAGGCCCACAACTATACATGACTGAAAGCTAACCACCTGACCTTATTAAGCCAAAGACATTGGGTAAAAATGAACAAATTTATTATTGTACAGCTTCAAAATCACAAGTTAAAGCCAAACCTGGTTTGCGGAAAACTCTAAGGGCAATGCATCCAAGGAAGACAATAATGATGCCAAAGAAGAGGCAGCCAGAGATGGACAGAAGAATCCTCCTCTTTAAAACTACAAGTTAAAATACAATCAGTGAAGGAAAACAAAGAATTATGGCACATGCTGTGTTGAAGACTCCTAACTCAAGCATCTCTCATACTCACGAAGGTTCTTGGTCTTGAGGGACTCGCTCTTTCCTGAATACGATGGCCTCTCATTGCGAATCCCCTGGCAGGAGTAGAGGCTCTGCTCAGGGTCATCTTCGGGCGTGACAGTATGTTTCTTGGAGGGAGTCTGATCGAGCCACGTTTTCTCCTTGAACCTGTTTTTGATTTTGTTTTGAAGGTGTTTTAATCACAGATTTTCAAAAGACGACAGTGAACCATAGGATATATTTTTACCACGTGTAGTTCCACATGTGTGTGCTGTTCTTCACTTCGCACTCGAGCACCAAGCTGTCAGTGGAGAAGACCTCTGTCCATCCAGTCAACAGGGTTATACTTGCTTGTGGACGCTCTGCAGCAAAAACAGAGGTAACCGTCATAAAAGTAAAAAAAAAACACAAAAAAACTGATGGAATGACGAAAGTAAGAAAAGAAATGAACACACCATCAACTTTAAATGTCACCGTTTCACTTTTGTCTGATATGAATACACTATCTTTTCCTCTTTTAACTTCACAGTGATACGATCCAGAGTCTTTTCTTTTCACAGAATCAATACTGAGATTGTTTTTGGACTCTTGAAGTAGTCTTCCATCTTTGTACCACTGGTATTCCCATCCAGAGGAGACATTAATGTGACAGCAGAAGGAGACCGAATCTTCAGTGTGCATCAAACTGTGCTCAGGATGCTGCGTCAGCGTGACTGTGGGTTTAGCATCTGAGAAGTGAACGTAATTAAAAAGAAGTTGCATAGCAGTTAGAGTAGTTCTGTTTAAGAAGAAGATAATTCAATTAAATCCACAGTACTTCCTTACCGGACTGACAAAAACAGAAATGTTGGCCTTTTCTTTAAAGAAGCGGCCAGCCTTGCATCAGCGCTTTTCTAACTTTCAGAGGCTACAACATGGATATATAGAAATATATATATATATATATATATATATATACAGATTTCTTGAATCCCCAAATAAAATTATTGAATAATTTTAATTTTCTAAAGCTGATTTTAGTGGAGTTTCATGTTGTAATGTTTTCTTTGATGCAAAATTGGCTAATAAAAATCACAAATTATAAAATTTCCTGTAACTTCAAACACCTAAAAGACGTGAACATGGTATTGCATCATTGCACAATGACAAATTGAGCAGATCAGACATTATGAAACATGTCCAGCACTTTTCTTTGAAACCACTGTTTTTGCTTAATCTAGTTCCTTTGTCAATTCACGAACAGATCAGTTGAACTGAAAAAAGGTCTCTTTGGTTAAAAGAAGATACAATATCTCACCATAGACGTGAAGTGTGACTTCAGAGCTATGAGTGCTGCAGACAGATCTGCTCTTCATTTCTCCTGAACATGTGTATTGTCCATGGTGTGAGGTTGAAGCAGATTTTATGGAAAGAGTGCTTCCACTGGTTCCAGTTTTGACAATGTCATCAGCCCTGACCTCCTTTGTATCTTTGTACCATGTGAATGTCCAGCCACCACTTCGCATCTGACATCTCAGCTTCACAGTCTCAGTGGGAAACACATCCAGCCACTCGGTTACTTTGTCCAGTGTCGGAACAGGAATCTCTATATGAAGGAAAAAACATATTGAAGCATAATGCGAGTCGTCTCTGTAGAGTTGTAACTGGAACTACTACTCGTCGTACCCAAATCTAACAGGTGTAGTAAAGTAACAAAAACAGAAGTAACAAAACGCATGCAGCAAGCTAACGAGTTTTGCCACTTTCAGTGTTCAAAAATAAAAAAGGTGAAGGTATTTTTTTTAGACAAGCTTGACAATACTTTCTACAGACTGATGCACATTGATGGAGTGCATGATCACCTGTTCAAATCTGAACTGTTGGTGATTTTATTTTATTTTCTCCTTGAAAGACGAACAAATAACGTCACACGGCTTTCTGTGGACGACTCCACCGGCGTTAAAAAAATAAAATAAAGCAATACATCAAATTGGTTTACAATTTCTCAATCACTTCCACTGTTCTAAATTTCAGTTCTTTATCCTATTTATTTGGTGCTTCTTCCACCCCTGTGTGGACTTCCCTGAGATGATAAATGGCAGCTCTCATGTTACTGAAGACAAAAAAAACAATAATTTAATATAAGTAACAAGACATGGCTCTGGTTTTATTGCATCACAGATGCCCTTAATCAAATCAACTTACCTACCCATTTAAGGACTTAACACTTCTTGTTGTAATTTATATACATCACCATTTATAATGTCATTTTTTGGCACTTCTAGTCAAGTACAAGTCACGTCACCTTTCCTAAAAGAACTCTACCTATACAGAGGCGTCCGTCTGAGACTACTGCTACACCACAACATCCTGTTTCAACAGAACACGCAGAAAAAAGGAAGCTCTCTTGTGCGCTGAAGCTGAAACATCCTCTAAAGCTTTGGATGGCAGTAAGAAAAGGAAAACAACTTAATTGATGAATTGAATATTTCTAGTTGATGTAAAAATAACCAACCTTGAACATCCAGGTTTATTTCATTACTGTGTCCTGTCGATGTCTTTTGACCTCTGCTGGCTTTGCAGGAATACTTCCCTTTATGAGAAACTTCCAGGTTGATACTGATTGTACTGCCAGTGTTAGGACGCTTCTTTTCACCTTCATACCACTGATAGCTCCAGCCAGTGGAAACATTAACTCTGCAAGTGAAGTTCACTGTTTCTTTAACATACATTAGACCAAAACCAGGATCCCTGCTCAGTGAAGGTTTGGGTATGCTGTCTGAAAAAAAACAAACAGTTCAGAAAAATGTATTACTACTCTTCAAAATAAAGTTTATCAGATTTATTCTGGCTTTTTCATACATTTAACTTGATATACTAGACAATAGACCTGCTATACTTTAATTATGTTAATGATGTTTTACTATATGAGTATTGAGGAAGAAAGCACAAGAACTAGTCGTTTAATAAACATGATTGAATGCACAACTTTACAAAAGACAAGTTATTTAAAATATAAACCAAACAGACTGCAAAAAAGTCTGTTTCACATAAAGGGATAATAACATTTTATATCAGGATTAAAAACTCACCGTAAACCATCACATTAGTTGTTTTGCTGAATCCAGAGGTGACTCCTCTGGATGGAAGGTGAGCTTTACAGGCAAACTGTCCTTGATGGACTCGACTGACAGAAGTGATATTGAGCACAGATCCCTTTTCATTTAGTACCATGTTTGGATCTTTCTGCAGCTCTTTGTTGTCTTTGTACCAGGTGAAGGTCCATTCAGGGCTGCTCCCGTCACAACCAAACTCCAAGAGCTCATTTTGAAACACGCCTGACCAGGAACTCAGCAGCTTAAGAATTGGCATTGGCGGGTCTGAAACAACACATCATCAAGATATCTTTTAGTTAAAGCCCAGAAAACTACACTGGAAAAACACAAATACCACAAGCATCATCAGATGATAAAATATCACACATTTTACTAAAATAGACAGACAGGTCATACTGCTTCTGCTGTACTGTGACCTTTCCTGGTGATACAAAAATATGAGCTTACCAGAAACCTGAAGGGAAGTAGAATCACTCTGATCTGTGAATAATGGGGTTTGGCCTCTCTTGCCTCTACAGTAGTATTCTCCACTGTTAGAATGAGCTATAGACAGTATACTGTAAGTGTTTCTGCTGGACGACTGAATTTCTCCTCCGTTATGGTACCACACATATTCCCATCCGGTGGACACACGAATGGTGCAGGTGAAGACGATGGATTCTCCAGGATACATTTGGTCAAAGGTTGAATTTCTGGTCAGAATGGGCTTAGGCCTGTTTGCTATTTAAAATAAATAGAATAAGGGAATACATTAATAGAACATGCAGAATCCTTCATAGCGAGCCCAACAAAAACACTTTAAAGAAAAAAACTGATGCATTGTGGTGTTTTGCCTGGGCTCCAAATGTAATTCCACTCAACGGATGTTTTGCATTAAGATTAAAATAAAATAAAATCTAAATTCTACTGTGTTCAAAGTCAACAAAATTGTATTACAAGACCGTTATACCAAACAAAATTATCTATCATAAATTACAATGGTGGAAAGATATTAAGGTGTTTTAAAATATAGGTCTTTAACCAAAACAGAGCACACTTATTTTAGTTTTAATAACAATACAAATTATATTTAAGAAGAAAAAAATCTAAAGATATTATTTTTATTTCTGGGTAAAAAACAAGTTATTCTGCTTTTCAATGTTTTTCAGTCATAGTTATAAATAAATGAAATAAAGACCTTATGAATGTGAAGATAGTATTATTTTCAAGCAACAGTTGTCATATTTTAAATGTTGAATTTGAGTCCTGATGAAACAGGTTTATTCTCCCATGATAGGTATTTAAACTCGCTTGTAATACATTAAAGTTTTATTTTTATACCACCTAATTTGAATCTATTTCTAAGGTTAAGTTTCAGGAGTTCAATATGTGTTGGGCAGCTGTCTCCAAATGCTGCTCTGATCTAAATACCTAGCAAGTTGCAGGGAAAGAAAATACTAATTTTCCCCATAGAAAACTGATCCTGAACAGTTTTTGTTGGGCTCCATGCATTTGTCTTTGTTGCTGCCCTGAAGTTTCATTCTAAAACCATTTTTGTTAACTCAGAATTGTGTGGGACTAGGCCTTTTACGATAACAAATTTTGCTGGGTGATTAATTGTCAGAAATTATTGTGATAAACGATAATATTGTTCGAAATTTGACAATAATTAGTAATTATAGTCAAATTTAAGAAGAAATGTTTGTTAATTTGTTTTGCATGTAGTACCTTTTTAAACCACCAGATGGCAGTACAAGACTGTTTGAACCGAATGATGGATAGTGAGTGAGCGAGCAGCATGTCGCTTTAAGAAAAATGGGAGGGAGGCCCCTGACATGACTACTGTCTCTCTTCAGTTCTCAAAATGGCGGACACTTGGTGTGGTTTGAGCTCTTTAGCATAGCATTTTTCACACAAAGCTTTTAATAAAAAATCAGTAACAAATTCTCAGCTTCTTTTCGCACGAAAAAAACCTTTTTACACAAAGGTTTTGGTGAATTTTGGAGCTTCGACAAGACAGTTTTTTTTTTGCTGAGGTCGGCCTGTTAGCTTAGCTCGTAGCTTAGCTTCTCAGCTTAGCTGATTTAACGATCCACAAACACAATTTTGGATCGTTAAAATGGATTTTAAGGAGAAAAAAGAAAGGGAGAGGTCAGTGGAGAGCACCGGAGTTGAGTTTTTTGTCATCCAGTGTCTTCAGTAGAAAGAGAGAGACACAAAGAAACATTAAAGACGATAAATGAAAATGAGGTGGATGATTTTCATTTATCTATTATCTATTTATTTATTTTGATTTGTTGTTTATTGCGACAGGCCTTTGCGGAACGTGTTTTTCATGCTATAAGCTTTTTAATCACAAGTTGGGGTTTTTTGTCGTATTGTTGCAGATGCACTCAGTCCACGCCCTGATTACATCACTGATGCAGAGTGAATAAAAAAAAGGAACCAAAAATTAATAAAAAAAACAAACAAAAAAAAACATGAAGTACAGATAATGGGGAAACTTAGAACTTAAACTTAGATTTCAGCTGGCTTCCATGAGCATCCATCCATCCATTCATTATCTTTACCTGCTTCTTCCTTTTTGAGTCATGGGAGTCACTGAGAAGCAGGGGACACCGTGGACAGGTCTCCAGTCCATCACAGGGACACGTAGAGACAAACAAGACAAACAACCATTCACTCTCTCACTCACACCTAGAGACAATTTAAAGTTACCTATCAGCCTAACATGCATGTTTTTGGTCTGTGGGAGGAAACTGGAGTACCCGGCGAAAACCCACTCATGCACGGCGAGAACATGCAAACTCCACCCATAACACCCTCCCCCACCCGGGATTTGATCCTATGACCTTCTTGCTGAGAGGCAACAACTCTACCAACTGAGCCACTGATCCACCCCCAGTTAAAACAAACAAGCACAAAAATCGTAAACTGACATCTTTCAGCACTCCAGAAAAGAAAGGAACTAAAGACCCTGTTCATCAAGTGACATCAATGAAATCCTTGTGTGTGACATCATGATGTTTGCATCTAGCTTAACTCAACATCTGGGTTTAATTGTCTGCCCAATAAAAGGTGTGTAGAAAGTTTATTGGTAAGATGAATATCTAATTTAGACCTAGAAATAAGGAACTGCCTTTGCGGAACTGCAGGGTGGGGTTTGTTGTATTTTCATGTCTTCTGCGAAATCTAAATTTAGCTAGGTATTGTTAGCATTTTCTGTTGGCAGACATACAAAGATCTTGAGACGAGTTTTCTTTCTCTTCTTTTAGAAATACTATCACGTGAAATTATTATGAACAGTTTCTTTGTGTCTTTATTTTAAGCTTTCACAATACTGGCCAACAACTCACGGGACAATGGAATTCCCAAGATTTGATAACACAACTCATGGGCATAATGACACATAGATTGTTATATATTTGATGGAATTTC